ATAGATGGGTAGATGGATAGACGGATGGATGGTTTGATGAGTAGATAAATGGATAGGTGGATAGATAGATAGATAGATAGATAGATAGATAGATAGGTATATAGATAGATAGATGGATGGATGGATAGATAGACAGACAGATAGGTCGGCCGATAGATCGATGCCGATAGAGAGTCTCGAGGGATCGAAAACAAGAGATGTAGAGAGAGACAAACAACTAGATATGGACATCGGGGCAGGGCTAGACACAGAGAGACACAGACAGCAGCAGAGGCAAAGATAGTGATAGTGATAGAGGTTTAGGTAACGATGGAGATGTACACATAGATAGACAAATGCATAACGGCATATAGGCAGTATCTTACTTTCCCGGGTTTATGGGGTTAGGGTTTGGGGTTCAAAACTCGGCACCTGGATGTCCAGGTAGAGGGGGGGCCCAAAAGGATGTATACCATATAGCTTTAAACCACTGGCTTGACCCCTCCATTGTGATACGGAAACATCGCAGGGTTTAGGGTTTCGGGGGTTCGAGGTTTGGGGTTTAGGATTTAAGGCCTTACAAAGCCCTCTAACCTCGTTCAACTTTCAGGTGCATGAAGATCTTGAACGGTTGGGGTGGAAAACGTAGCGTTTGACTAACACTCCAAGCCCGAACACCACTACCGCCGAAAACATCTAAAGCATGAACGAGACAGACTTAATTCCGTGAGCAAAACAGTGACTCGCCGACTTTACAGTCAAGGATATCAAGTCTTCTGCGCCGTTAATCAGTAGCCCCTAAACCCTAAACCCTAAGCCCTTAACTCTCGGGCTGCAACACTCCAGGGAACTCGGGTCTTGTATAGGTGGGGTTTAAGGATCCAAGGTTTGTGACTTTGCTTGGGGCTCCGCTCTTGGGCAATGTAGGGGCCTTAGAAATTAGAAAAAGGTTTAGGGTCCTTAGAGGTATTGATATAGTAAGTTACCATAAAGAACCTAAGGAGTACAATTGGTAGCATTTAGGCTTCTATGGTTACGTATGTGGGTCCTGGGGGCCTACGACCGTGACCTGTTAGAATCATATGTTCAGGACTCTCAGGCTCAGGGTTGAGGGTTTAAGGTTTAGAAGTTTAGGGTTTAGGGTTTAACGGTTTAGGGTTCAAGGGTTTAGGGTTTAGGCAAGTTTAGGGTTTAGGGTATAGAGGTTTAGGGTTTAGAGTTTCCCGGCCTTGTCTGGAGCAAACTTCTCGCCCTCGTAGTACATACTTCCCAACCGAAACCTCACAAGCATGGAACTCTCACAGTTGAGGCACAATGCACCTCACATCGGCAGAGACTTGCTTGGTCCCAAACTTAAAAAGCGTTGGTCTGGGGCTTACCTTAAACTGCCATATAGAGGGATTTTGGCGAGAAAGCAGCTTCCGGCAGTGGTGAGCTCGGGCTTGGGAGGGTGCCTCTTCAACTAGCGGGCCTCAAAGAAGGAACATCCATCTTACCCTAAGGGTCCAAGTACCTAAGAATCATATACTCTCCCTAATATTAAGCTAGAAAACTAAACCCTAAACCCTAAACCCTACTATCCGTAACCAAAGTACGTTATTATTGGGTCCTTTGGACCCTTAGGGTTAGGGCTTCAGGGATCTCGGGCGTTAAGGTTTGAACCCGTAGGGTTTAGGGTTTAGGGTTTAGGGTTTAGGTTTAGGGTTTCCATGCCTTTGAAGCCGAATTCTCACAGCGTGCAGCAGGGGCGATGGACCCTCCGAAGCATGGGTCTACCTAGAGAACTTTGTATTGGCGCGTTGAGTCCTGATTCTACCTTGGGCAAGGCTCCCCCCACCATATAGAGAGAGACCCTCATGTAAGCACCACCAGCCTGGTTGGTGGGGTGGGTTGGCGCCTTATGTACCTAAGCAAGATATAAAAATCTACAGGATTTCTATTAGACCTCTGAAGCCGTTCATCGCAAACATTTCCGGGACCTACACAAATCTCCGACACCAGGCCTTCAATTCCCCAACTTTGACCTTCTAAACGGCAAACTCTACCTAGACCCCCACACTACCCTCGAATATACCATACATACCCACTGCTAAGGACCATAAGGGCTCTACTAACGGCTACTTGTGGGTCCTTGTAAGCCCCAAGTAGCCCGTGAACCCCAAAGCCCTTACCCCTAAACTCAAAGGACGGGCTCTAACATGAAACCGAGGGTTTAGGGTTGGCTGGATGTGGAGGTGGACGGCCTCAGCCCTGATATAGCTATATACGGGTCTAAGAAGTAGTATACAAAGCTTTGGGGCTTAGGGTAAAAGACCCATTTTGTCCCCTGTATAATGATACTATACTATGCCCCAAAGACCTGAGCGAACTATGAAGGTGCCCGTACTACTGACATCCGCGAAATAACGGGGATCCAAAGACCCCACGCCAAGTCACGTTTGGGGGGGAGGCCTTAGCAAAAAGAAAAATAAGAAAGCATAACTGCACAAAAGGACGAAATGCGAGTATCACTGATTATAACCACCCCTCAATTACGCTTCTATCACTTGCGGGGTTTCGGGTTTATGCCGTTTCCGCAAATTCTCTTTGCGGGCTATTGGTTTAGGCCAGGCGGTCCTTCTTCACTCTCCCAAATGCTCCTCAGTACCTATGTGGGAAGTACTTGCTCGAGGAAAAAGCCATTCCTGCCACAGAAAACCATACTTTCTAGTATCTGCCCTTTGGGTCTTCTAGTATAGGGGCCTCAATAGTCAGGAAGGGGCTTGGAGGTGTACTATACTAGTAATTATACTTTAAGGAACCCTAAAAAATAACATTGGTAATTTTGTAGGCTTCCATTTTTGCCATGGTTGGGAGAGTCTTCAAAACTGTGAACTTCTTTTCCTTCCTGAGCTTAAGTACCCATCGAAATGAAAAATGTTATCCAACCATGACAAAGATTACTTCACGTTGGAAGGGAGGTTGGGGTATATTTTACTATAGACTATAACTATATATAAGTATAAGTAGGAGCCCCAGAGAATAATATTGACAATCAATGGTAGTTATGTACTACAACTATAACTATTTATTTAAGAAGCATAATAAGGATCCATACCGTTTAATGTTGGTATAATTATGTAATCTTCTCTATTTCTCAAGGATCCTGGGTAGCTCCTTTATAATATGGGTTCCCTTGTTCCTACTATTCGGTCTTACGGTTTAGGGTTTAGGGTTTAGGGGTTTAGGGGTTTAGGGTTTAGGGTTTAGGGTTTAGGGTCTAGGGACCCTAATATCAAAGGGCAAACGCGTTCTACTCAGGAACCCTAAACCCAAAACCCCTCAACTCCTGAATCCTAAATCCTAAAGCCCCCAAACCCCCAAACCCTAAACCCTAATTACTTCGCTCTTCTGGGCCAGCCAGGCTACTGCGCGTGGGTGTTGCCAGCCTCCGCCTTGCGGCTCTTGCGGCTCCGGTTTAGGGTTCAGGGTTTTCGGTTTTGGGCTTTTGTCATACCCACAGAAGCCCACGGTTTCGGGTTTGGGTCTCAGGGGAGGGTTTAGGCTTAAGGTTTCAATTGGGGTTTCTAGGGCTCAGGGTTTCAATAGGGTTTAGGGTTCCCACCCTAAGTAAACCCTCACCCCCCAAAACTCCACCATAATCTTCGACTTTTGATACCCAAAAGTCCATCATAAGCATGGGCTTCTTAGATTTGGACCCAACAGAATCTTAGGTTTCTTGTACCCCAAAGCCCACCAATCCCAGACTCGAAGAAGCCCAAGCCCAAAACCCCAAAAGCCCGGAACCAGACCCGCATTGTTTAGGGCGCAGAATTGTGTAAGGTCTGAGGATTTGTCTGGAGACTGCGGGAAGTGTAGGCTCTTTTCGGGGGTTCGGATCCATGGCGTGGTTTCGGGAGTCTCAGGGCTTAGGAACTAAGGTCCAGGTTTCAGGGTTTTAGGAAACCGACATGTGCAGTCGCCAACAATATTCCGAAGGAGCTCCATCTACACTCAACCATAAGCACAAACAGACACATAAACCCGATACCTCATGTACCTTTCGACCTAAAAGCTCATGGCAGGCCGAAAGTGCTAAACCCCAAACCCTAAACGCCTGAATCCTAAACCCTAAACCCCTAAACCCTAAGCCCTAAACCCCTAAACCCTAAGCCCTAAACCCATAAACCCATAAACCCTAAGCCCTAAAACCCCCAAACCCAAGGACTAAGAGCAAGCAGCTTCCTGGAGACTCGGCAGTCCTGCCTTGTGAGACTTTGCCCGAGGACTCCAAGTAAAAAAATTAGGGTTTAGGGTTTAGGGTTTAGGGTTTAGGGTGCGCTGTGGTGTTTTAAGTCTATCGGCAATAACAGAGGGGCCTTAATGATTAAAATGGGGTTTTGGGGCCATTTTACTTCAATTTTAAGAAGGAGCCCTGAAATAGTATTGGTAGTTTTTGAGGCCCGTACATTGCCTACTTTAAGCAATTTGGACTTCAACCCCAGGCGATGAGATTCCTAAGCACAGGATCCTGTCTGGAATACCGACATGAAAGTGCCCACTCTATTTCAAGGGATTCCCAGAAGGACTCAAGTCACGAATCAGGCCAAACCCTTCATACGGTTTGGGGTTTAGGGTTCTGGAAGACATGCCATGAACAAGCAGCGGATGCCTCCTTCACGATCCTGTCGACACCCATTTCGTCTGGGTCGTAATCCTGGATGATTTGGTGTATCGTGATGGTTTGCTACCCTGGGTTGGGCTCCTAAACCGACAGCTCCGAATTCCTGGCATGTATATACATAAGTAGGCCGGTAGGTAGGCAAGCAGGGAGGTGAGTAAGCATGTATGCATGCATGCAGGCAGGTATGTACATGTGTGAGAACCCATGTCGATATGTGTGCGGGCATGTGCCTAAAAACTGAAAACAAGTTCGGTCTCAGGAGGAGTGTTTAGGAATCTTGCATTTCGGATGGCCACAGATCAACCCGAGAGGACTTGCAGCTAGCAGGTCGTCAGACTTATCCATGTCGGCAGAGGGTGGGGATGTCGCGACATGTTGTTTCCCTGAACCAGAGTATCTTGAGCTCTATCCCAGAACAAAAGACTGTATCACAGAACCAAACAAAATCCTACCGGCCCTACTACTGATCGTCTCAAGGTTTTTGCCTGAATTCCTACACGTCCCAAGGATTTTGCCTGAATTCCTACAGAGCGGGGTTTCGGGTTTGGGGTTCGCACGGTTCAGCGCCTAGGATGCTGGATTGGACTTGCAGGGTTGCGGGATCTACCTGCGGAGCTTGTAGCCGCTGACCTGCGGGCTTCTTGGGAGTGGGGTTATTTGACTGTTTAGGGCTTAGGGGCTTGAGGGATTTAGGGTTTAGGGTTTGGGGTTTAGGGTTTATAGGGCTTAACCAAAAGGCAAGCAGGCGTAAGAGTCTGGTCTGGAGCTGTTCCAGGTTGCTACCCACATCGCCTTGTGTAGTCTTCACGGGGCGACTCCGAGCAGTGGAACAGAACTCCGGATGCAGACATCTCATGTGAGGAAGGGAATTGCTAGAAATCGGCAATAGCACCTCCACAAAGTCTTCATCCTAAACTTGCTCAAGAATGCATCCCCCGACACAGCCGTTTCATTCCGGAGGACTGTGCAGCAGGTTGGTAGCTCAAATCACAAGTGCGGCTCCCAGCTGATTGAAAATGCCAACAGCTCAAGGACAAGGCCGATGAACGGAAACCTCGTTACCCTTAGCTCGAAACCCGAAGCCTAACAAAAGAGGCGCACTCGACCTCTTGGTTTAGATGTTTTTTATACTAGTCGTAGTGGGGCTTGGACGAAAGCCGATTTTATCCGTGACGGTGTGGTGCATGTCTTCCGAGCGGCAAAAACCTACCAAGTCAAGTCTTGGGGTCTGCACACCCTGAAATCTCCTGGACAACTCCAAGGGTCTAGAGTTTTGGGGTTTAGGGTTTAAGGCTTAGGGTCTAGAGTTTTTCGGTTTAGGGTTTAGGGTTTAGGGTCTAGAGTTTCGGGGCTTAGGGTTTAAGGCTTAGGGGCTTTAAATCCAAATCCGGCAGAGTCTCCATCCAGGGCCCGGCACCAAAGACTTTGATGCTCTTGCTCCTCAAGGCCTCGTTCAGGGTGGGCCTGGGCCTCTTGCTCTGTACTACTGATGATAAAAAAACCTGCATTACCTTAAGGATCCTAAACTGTGGGAGTTATGGTATGTTCCTTACATTACCTGAAGGATCCTAAACTATGGGAATTATGGTATGTTCCTTATCTTATCATGGGTAAGGCAGGATTTATATCATCAAACGTACTGAAAGTAGGTTTAGCCTGCTACCGAATCACAGAGTAGAGCACTCCAAATGCCGCCTAGGCTCCAGGGCAAACTACCACAACCTACATTTTGTAGGTTCTTAAGATAAAAACGTTCTGAATTTCTTCGGAAATTATAAGAGTAAGATTTCGATGTCGCTGGCCTTCTTGTGACCTCGCTTCGCCGCTTGCTCCATCCACTCCTTCGCAACATCGAGATCCCGCTTGACACCTCGAGAGCAAGGACGGCAGGAGCTGGAGCTGCGGATTGAATAGTCTTTCGGGCTTGGTTTAGATCTCATGGCTGAAGACTTGATCCAAAGTCTGGGCGAGGGCTCTTAGAACCAACATTCACGGGACGGCTCAAGACAAAAAAACAAAAGCCTCTTGCAGCGCAGCGACCTGATCTGGAGTAGGGTCACGTTGGGCATACACCGCACCCCCAAACCCTTGTCACACAGAGTCATGAGCCTACAGACTTACATCCCAACACCACAAACCAAGTAACCTTCTTGAGCTTCTTGAACTCTAATCCAAAAACCGGAGCTGCATCCCAAATCCTTGCTTGCGAAGGTCCCACGTGCCTCAAGGTCTTTACCAACAAGACCGAAAGCCAATGCACTGCCCTGATGTCTCGCCTGCTTTCTCTCTCTCTCTCTCTCTCTCGCTGAAACGTGCATGTGCACATATGGACAATGAATATACATGTATACACCTAATGCAAACAATGAACGTGCATACACATAATGCAACGCGCATGTGCGGTTGCAGCTCAGGTTGTCGGGCTGTTAACTTTCGTGGAGGTTGTGTGCCGACCCTTAGTGTGTTGAGCTGCAATATCGGATTGACTGCTTCTGGCATTCTCTCACGGTTCAGGTATGCAGCTTCTTCCGACATCAGTCCTGAACGCAATGTTCTCCAATGCCTTTGGTAGGAACACGACACCCATCGGCCGAAGCTATCAAACCCAATCCATGAACTTGCAGAGTTCAGAAGACCAAGAAAGACCAAGCAGTCCTTCCGCACAAACTTCAGATTTCGGGTCCTGGCGCCTAAACCACAACCGAAATCCTAAATCCTTCTAAACCTGCTAAGCCCTGAGTCCAATGCTCGCCAAACACAGAATCCTACAGTGCCCACACTGCCCAACAGAAGCAACCTGTCTGCCTATGGCGTTCTGGTACATCAGGGACAAGTTGTACATGGCTTTCGGGTCGCCGGCCTGATCCATTTTGGATTGCGTAGGGCCTTGATGATTAATTTAGAATAGGGTTTGGGGGGCAAATTCTAGATGCCCATAATAACATAATAAGGAACCCCGACAAATAATATTGGTAATTATTCAGGCCTTTGTACTATTGGCTGTACAGTCTAAAAATGGAGCATAAGAAAAGGAGGTGGCATGCTCCTTGCCTGACTGTGCTTAGCTTGCGGGTTAGCGGTTGGCGGATGCCAACGTTCGAACCGCTTGGCTTCTGTTTTAAGGCTCAGGCATGGGACCGAAGGGTTCTGCGCGTGGTTCAGGATCCAGCATGATTCGAGTCGAAACCCCAACTTAAATCTACCCTCAGCCCTATAACTAGCCCCACACTCTCTCACCGCCCTCCCTTCAGCCCCAACCTGTGCCGCTTGCTTCAGGTAGGCTCCCGCGAGCACTTCGTCCTTGCCCACACCTTGCCTCAGTGGTCCGGCTACCCTAAGGGTCAAGCACCTGATAAATCGAACTCTCTAAAGATTCACAAACAGACTAAACTCAACTACGATAATCCCCAAAAGCCCCAAACCCTAAACTCTAAACCCCAGACCCAGGGAAAGGTTTAAGGATCGGACTGTGGGGTCTGCCACAACATAGACGCCCCACAACATATACGCTTTTGTGGGGTTTCTCAACAGTTCTGAGTTTAGGGTTTAGAGTTTTTCTGTGTGAGGCTTCACGGCCTTTGTTGATACGCAATGCGGCTTTGGGGGTATGCTCTAAATAATTCAATAAGGACGAATTACGATTTTTTCAGACCTTGATGTACTAAGTCTCGAACCCAAGCCCAGGACCCAAACACAAGCCTGCTGGCGACTTTGGGGAGTTTCAGACAACAAGGGCAAGCCATACTCAAACCAATCAAACTAACAAGACCCTTGAACAAGAAATCCTGTTTCTCAAGAACGCCTCAGTAAACCCGGGTGGAATGCGGGGAGAAGAAAGATCAAATATTGCACTTGGAAACTTCTCCTGTTGTGCCGAGTTGAAGCCTTAACTGACTAAGTCAAAGCAGCCCTACACCCTAAATCCTAACACCCCAGCCCGAAACCCTGCACGAGGCTTGTGGCGCAAGGCCAAACGGACCCACAACCCCTTAATTCTGCCGCACGGCCCGTTCAGCAACATCACCCCCAGGGCGTAGGAGGCCTGTTGGGCTGGGACGATCGCGTTGCAGAGAGTGAGGAGGGAATCAAGATTGCCCGGAGTGGGGTGTAGGGCTTGGGGTCTAGAGTGTTTAGGGTTTAGAGTTTCTGACTGGGGTACAAGTCTGCGATCATTTTCCCCGAAAAGCTATTCTAGATTACTCTAATACCCTAAGACCTCCAACCCTAGGCCCTACTCTAGCTAATTATGCCTTACTTTAGCCAAGTATGCAGGACCTTATACTGAACACTATGACTATGATGGGGCGGGGTCCCTTAGTCTCTGAAACTCCCGAATGACCGAGATGAGCAGTCGTTGAACTCTGAGACTGTTGTCCTTCTTTGTCAAGGTTCACAGTTTAGGGGTTCATGGTTTGAGGTTTAGGGTATGAAACACCGGCAACACAGCGTCCGTTCTCAGCTGATATAACAGCAACGTGAAAAAACAGCTAGAATCCCTGACGAAACCCTAGGTACCAAACTCATAAGACAAATCTTCAAGCAAACCCAACTAAATGCTAACCCTAAACACATATAACGAGCCACAACTCGCTAACATCGAGACTCTGATACCCAACTCCCCAGAACAAGGCACCCTAAACCCTAAGACCTGAAGAGCCGAAAACCTTCCTTAGGGTTTTGGGGTTTTGCGGTTTGGGGCCTAGGGATTAGGGTTTAAGGCTTTGGGGTTTAGGGGCTGGGGTTTAGGGTTTGGGGTTTAGGCCTAGGGCCTAAACCCGAATGCAAAGCATTGCTCCACAGCTACGGCCTTGAGATGACCCAGGTCGGCAGCCTCTCGGAAGCACCGAGCCGCCTCAACCTCCGCGGGCATCTTTTGGGAGGCTGTAGTCGCTTTCTTCTGGATTTGTGTTGGGTTTTTTGGAGGTTCTGCCTGCTGTTGTCAAAACTGATGTTCTTTGGGGTTTTTGGTAGGATCTTGATAAGGTCATGTAATGGATTTATTGGGTTGAACTCAAAGGTTTTAGAAGGCATTTATCAGGTGTTCTCAAGGGTCGCAGAACCAAGCGGCTAAATGCCCCGTCGGAAAGACTCTGGATAATGCAACATAAGGTATCAGACAAAGCAAAATCGCAGGGCTGTTACGGCAGCTTCATGCATTGCATATACATAGAAAGATACAGGTATAGATATAGATGCAGGTATAGATATAGATATAGGTGTCCACATTTACACACATCGAGAACAGCCATTATACTGCACGAGCTGCAGCAGCAACACACGCAACAACGGCATCGGCAGCACCAACCCGAATGCGGCGCCAAACCGAACCTGAAAAAGCAATGCTAAGCAAGCCACAACATCTACGAATGGAACCACCAATAAAGTATTACTATACCGAACCCGAGCCCCAAAAATGCACTAGGTAGAACCTCATGCGCACCAAATGCTGAAGGCGCTCCTCTGCATAATCTAACACGGGAGTTTAGAACACCTTTACAAGATGCCATCGCTCGAGGACCCAGCTTCGTCTTGCTTCACGCCCTTCCCCTTGAGAAGGCGCACGCCGAGGTTGTAGTCGCTGCGAGACTTGGCCTACGGGGATGCTATGGCTTTTGTGGGTATATGGGTCATTAGGGTTTCGGGACTTCTAAATTCAAGCCAATGATTCCCGGCCCATGTCTGAGGACAATTACGGGTTTGAAGGGATCTTGCACTCTACCTATAGTCTACATTGTAGCTCCTTTTCGGGGCTGCCTTTTCAGATCCTTAATGTAAAACTGACTGGTTAAACCACAAAAAAATACAATGGGCACTGTAGGTAGGTTCCCTCGCTAAAACCTGCCCTGAACCCCTGACCCAAACGCCCAATAATAAAATTACCTTAAACCCTACACCCTCTGACCCTGAAGCCTGACATCTAAACCGCTTGAAACAGAAACCCTAAACCCTAAACCGCTTAAAACAGAAAGAACGAAAACCAGCCCACCCTAATCCCGAGCTTGAGGCCTCCAGCTCCATAAGCTTCTCCTCATCCTCCTTGGGAGGGTTTAGGGTTCGGTTTAGGATTTAGCCTAAACCCTAAACCCTGATTCTGAAACCTGTGCAAAAGGTGGGGTTCAGGCTCCAAGAGATTAGGGTTCAGGCTTTCGGGGTCGGACTGGCAGGGTTTGTGGTGGCTTCCTGGGCTTTATGTTTAAGGGCTTTACCTCTCCGTTGTAGCTCCTTTTGTTGAATCAATCAATCACATATTAAGGACCCTACAAGCTAACCCCCAAAGCGAGCCTATAGGTAAGGCTCCAACCCTAAATTCTAAACTCCTAAACCCTAAACCGCAAAAAAACTATTCTATCTGTTGAGGCCCCTGAAGCTTAATACCAGCTTCCTTATAGAAGCCGCAAAGAGCCCTTGAAGGAACCTTACTCTAACTATTAAGACTTTCAAAACCGCCAAACCCTCAATCTCTCATGCAACCGCTAGAGGAGCCCTATGAAAGACAGACATTGAGATCTCAGTGCAGTTTGGGGTTTGGGGTTTAGGG